AGAAAGAACTAATTGAAATTAACTGGTTTGAAAAAGATGTCAATATTTACATTGAATTATCTACAATCTTGCATAACGTTTAGTCTCATTTCATGACAAATACAGCTAGCTATTAAAATATTGGTTTGTGTTTGCTATAAATTTATTATTCATAAACCTGTGAAACGTCTATAAATAAAACATTCCCTACTATGTCGAAGGAGGGCCAGCTTATGATTAGCGTGTCGTGCTGTGTGTATAACAAGGTTTATGATTCGAGCTTTTTAACTGTGACAGTTTATGGGTTGTCGTACGTGTTTTGTTCCGTCTGGTCAGCAGTCCAAAATTAGGAATAGCTATGCTTGAATAATGGGGTCTCTTGAACTGCCCATTTAGTCCGTGTGTCGCTCTAAGATTGTTTGTTTGTAATTAAGCACAAAGCTACACAATGGGCTATCTGTGCTCTGCCCACCACGGGTATCGAAACCCGGATTCTAGCGTTGTAAGTCCGCAGACATACCGCTGTGCCACTGGGGGGCCGCTCTAAGATACTGTTCAGGTTGAAATTGCAAATTACTGTCGAAGAATCTATTTTTCTGAAAAACTCTTTGTTGATTTTTGATAATAAGAAGGTACTGTGTCATGATCAAGCAGGTCAACTGTATTAATTGTCAGTTCACATGCTCAAACTATTTCGTATTTACAGATTTTGACTAAAATGGCACATAATATATTCACTCTAAGGAGATCAGATTCGGTGGGAAAAACCTGAGTGTCAAGCGAAACTGAAGTTTGTAGTACTATATATAATAAGCGTGTTTTTAACCCGGTATGGACATCAAAGTCCACGTTTTTTTTTTAATTTATTCATCTCTTGAGAGCTCACCTGATTTATTATTATTTTTACTGTTTCCATTCCTAGCAGGAGAAATGAAGTCCAATTTTTTAAAGGAATTGTCGGGAAAATATTTTTTGGGATTACTTGCTTATTTTACTCTAATCGGGGGGAAAAGGAAATTTTTCAACGTTCATGACATACACTTGGAAGAAAATCTCACGTGCAGAGATATTATCTGTCATATTAATCACACATCGTCCTTTTTAAGTTTGTCTAAAATTATATTTATTTTTCTTGTTAAAAGATATGTTGTTACACCTCACAAGGTTGAACTTATTACTTATTTTAATAACCTACCTATTTGTTTTTGTTGTTTTTAAAGTGTCTGCATATTTTATTTTTTCTTAGGCTTTGCATGATATTCTAGTTAATTGGTAAATTATAACAACATCAGCGGCCTTTTGAATTGTGTGAATTGGAGTTCTGGAAGTAAACACTGACTTCTTTTTCTCATTAGATATTTCACTATTATTATCAACTTTGTTCAGAACTTTTAGACATGTGTCCTTCCCAGAAAAGCTAGAAACAATTTCGTTAAGGAATGTTTCAGAAAAAGATGCGAATCACTGCTTTCTTCAGTGTTTTACATGAACGAGTGTTTCACTTACAGTTCCACAGTTCCCTTGCGGTGATCCTCCGGTGGGACAGCGGTAAGTCTACAGACTTGTAACGCCAAAATATAGGGTTCGATTCTCCGCGGTGGACACACCAGATAGACCAATCTAAGTTTCAGAAGGATCGTTACACTGTACATGAAACTTGCAATACTAAAAAAGAGCCAAGAAAACTAGACCTTGCAATACTACAAGAACCAAGGAATCCAGATCTTGGAATACTACACATTTCCCTGTGCATCAGTCCTACAATTGGATATAGTTTCGTTTGAATTAAGAATTTAGTTACTTAAACTGATCATTTAAACTTAGTTTCAAACATCAAATGTATATAGCTGTAATCTAATGATAAGTGTACTGCTGTAAAACTAGTTTCAAATAATCAGTTAGTTGTTTTAAAACTAGTGTAAAATAATTTACTTCTATAAATCTATTTTCAAAAGACAAATCTATTGCTGTAAAACTAGTTTGAAAACGTTGATTTAAAGCTCTAAATCTACGTTGAAAAAGGAATCCGTTAAAATGATTTCCATTTTTTACGCAAACTTCTTTAACTCAAGAAATTTAAAATAACTGTGTAAGTAACCAACTTAGATGTATGTTAAAGAACAAAATTTTTCTCTTTACTGATGGTGTAGGTAAAGCTGTGGAGATTTAAAAAATACTTTGAAGTAGGTCAAGTGAACAAACACAGTGTTTGCATGACATATTACCGAAGGCCTAAGACAGTAATGTAAAGAAACTAAACTTCTAGTACTTGTCCACAATGTGGGCTTTGGTGCTTGACACCTTTCATATTCAGTGTGCTTATAACGTCCTTGTTTTTTATCTGTAAGAACATAAACGTTTTTTCTTCCAACTGAGGTGTGAAAGTATAATCGCGATTTTTTTTATTTTCTGAAACTGTGATATATTGATTGATTTTACAAATATGGAAGAAAGCTGTACTTGTTTACAATCGAGAGGCCGTTCACCTAATGGAATGGTCTTCACGCCCTATTTCTATCTTTGTGAGACTTGCGTGCCTCAAGCAGAAAAGAAGCCACGCTGTCATATTGTCAAGACATGACTTGGTAAACAGTTAGTCCAACAATTTCATTATCTCCGATTGTGTCTTGTTTGGACCGATGTGCGTGTTACCTATTCAAAATATGCGCTCTGAAAAAGAATATTCGATTTATGTATTTTAATGGGAAGTCGTGCTGTACACTTGTTGCGTTATTATTTAAAGTTTTCACTTCTAAACACAAAGTACTTGCTCTTATTTGGACTTCTCATAATCATCGCTTTCTGAAGCTGTTGTAAGTAAAAACTGCACAGTTTATGTATATTTACTTCGTATATTCATTCTTCAATTCGAAATACATTAAATTTCAATGAATAAATAGAGTTCTAGTTTTAGATAAACAATCAGCATTTAATCACATGGAAGGTGTTCTTGTAGAAAGTTGTAATAACCGTGTTTTAGATACATTCAGAGTTATATGTGTTGTAAAATATCATATTCCACGTTCTTATTTCTCTGTTCATGCACTTATATTTTTGTTTTGATATCCATACTACCTTCCAGCTCTCATGTTTTGCATCTCTGTCTTCCTGTCCATCTAGCTGCCTATTTGTCTGCCTTTCTTATACAGATGTTCAAGTTAGAGATTTTTCACATTTGTTTTTCTTTAGGTGGAGAGATTGGCCCAGTATGAACAGTTTTTGTCACAACTTGCAGCTAAGACTGAAGAACCTCACCCTGATTACGGTGAACGAACGAGAGCAGCTGAAAAAGTTAAAAACGTGAGTTCACAAAATATTTCAAGCTTAAGAAAAAAAAACTTGTGTAAACTGTGATCATAATTTTAAAATTATTTAAAGCAAAACTACTTTTTATTAACTTTCTAATTGATGTCAAGTTGAAAATGGTTTCCATGACAGTTTTTGTAGTCCCCTAGTGGCTTAGTGGTAAGTCTGAAGGCTTATAACGCTAAAAACCGGGTTTCGATACCCCTGGTAGGCGCAGCACAGATAGTCCATTGTGTAGCTTTGTGCTTAACTACAAACAAACAAAACTGTTTTCATAATTTTAATTCGCCAGTTTTTTGTTTGTTTAAGCGAAAAGTTAACTTATTAGAAGCGTGTATGCCTTCAAAATTAAAACATACCTTTAAGTACAAGCCTATTTTTTAAATGCTTCAAATTCTGAGGGAAGCAACGGACATCAGTAAGGAAAATTACGGTTTGCTCGTTTCTGGGCCAGAGTGACCAAAAAGTTAACGTGCCCGTCCTGTGAATCCGACGATTCGTGGTTCGCAGACACGATCTCCTCACTTAAGGGCCGTGGATGCACTATAAGAGTGACAGTCAAATCTCATCATTCGATCAGACAAGAGTAGCCCAAGAATCGGTGGTGTGTGTGTGCTGTTGACTAGGTGCCCTTACTGTAGACTATGAACTCAAAATAAGGACGATTATTATGCAGATAACCCATGTGCACCTATGCGAAAATTCTGGAACAAAAACAAATACTCGTTTATAACTAAGTAAAGGTTTCAAGCATTCATGTTCACAATGTCATATATAAGTAAACGTAATCTCAACTAAAATTATTTAAAAGTTCACCCTTAGCTGGTGAAAAAATGTTTATTACATGAGTAAGCAGTGAAGGAATGCTTTTCTTCCATGTCTAAATAACGTGACCATAGCGCCACCACCCTTTAAGGTGTTGTTGGTTAACAGAACTAATGCTCCGCCTGATATTACATCATTGTCTGTTCATCTAACACAGAGCTTCAGCTTCTACCTGCACACATCTTAGGCCTACACATAAAGAAGATGTTATTATTTAACGATTGGTAATAATTGACTTTTATTAGTGTCTTTATTTTTCAATGGAAAACAAGTACAGCTGGGAAAAAAATATAATTAGTTTTCTTCATCAGTTATTCAAAGGCATTAAACTCTTAAGCTAACCACTGAACTAACGTTGACGAAATCTTGTTTGCTATCGAAAACTACGAAGACAACTTGTGGAACAGGTAAGCTTGGCGGGGTAGCACATGAACAGCAAGTTCGACTGGTGTTTCTGGAGCAATAATAGAAACAAACATGATTGGTATTTTACCCGGAATACCATTATTCCTTCGTGAACTATTAATATGACTATTATTTCACAGAAGAAGTAGCTTCAGAAGTTCCTTAAATCAGAAAAATTAGCTTCAGAAGCTCCTTAAGTTAGAAAACGTAACTTTGGAAGCTCCTTAAGTTAGAAAAAGTAACTTCAGAAGCTCCCTAAATCAGAAAATTAATTTGAGGATACCTTTAGATCAGAGAAATGAGTTTCAGGCGCTTTGTAAAGTAAAATATTTGTTTAACACACTCTCTGAAATAAAAAAACAGTATAAAATTTTCATTAACTCAATATATTTCGTTTAAAAACATTTAAACTTTGATGAATGTTGTTATTTTTTTACGTTTAGCATTTTTGTTAACTGTGAGGAAGAGAAGCGAAGGTTAAGAGAATCTTGTTGAATTTCATTTATTAATTTCGATTTTGTTATTTCGGAAATAAACACAAATTAAAATCCACGCTTAACATTTGCAAAGTTATTATTACACAGAAAAAACACTTGTATTAAAAAAAAGTTCATGAATTGTTGCTGTTGCGAAGTCCATTGAAATCTGTCTCATGTTGTTCCTGGGGTGAGATGCTTTCTCGTCACGTGCTAAGTTTCGGAAAATGATTCTACATTCGACCCTTGTGATGAAGTTTGGTAGTTTTTCATCTTTTTATTTTATTATATATTTGATAGTTTATTTAGTGTTATAAATACGTAGAAAAAAATACGTAAGAGGGCGTGTACATTTAACAGCAGCGACGTTTTTCATAACAACGTTCTCATGATTGTGGACAGTATTCTATTTAAAAACTTATTATTCATATTATACAGATGATGAAAAGGGGAGAGCAAAGTGTGGAAGAATTCGATTTGGAGAAGATTCAAGACCTCTTCCCGAACGACAATTTGAATTTGTACGAAGATGATCCGTTCTTTCCGGTGTGTTGGGTTTTTAGCATTATATATTATTAGCTTAAAGATGATCCGTTCTTTCCGGTGTGTTGGGTTTTTAGCATTATATATTATTAGCTTATAACCTGCTGAGTCAGTTTCTTCTTTATTGAAAAATAGGAGATCAAATAACAAAGTGTTTGCAAAAGAATAAATTTATATATATATAAACACACACATACATACATACATACATACATACATACATTACACACACACACACATATATATATATATATATAGAGAGAGAGAGAGAGAGAGAGAGAAAGAGAAGGCGTCACACACACAAACAAGGAAACAAAGTGCAAAGTAAACGAAGGTTATGCATACATAAAAACAGTGATCAAAATCAGTATCAAAATACTTAAAGGTTTGCAGCTGTTGCCTGGAAATGCTCAAAGGGTTCTCTTCAGCATTTCCAAAATTTTTCTCAGAAAAGTTAAGGATTTCTGATTTGAAATTAGAACGAGCGAGTGACTGGCTTCCGAACGAACCCCCTATAAGAGATGCAGAACAAAATAGAAATGTAATAACTTATTTTGATTGATTTCCTTTCCTTAATGTTACGTTCTTTGATTGTTGAAAGAATGTATTTCGAACGTTACCACATAGAGAAGCTATTGTTAATATATTGTATTAATCTCTAGATCTTTGAGCTGTTTCAAAAATAATGTTTATCAAGGTATCATTTGAATATCTGCTTTCTTTAACATAACACTTATGCCATGTAAAAATGTGTATTTATTTGTTTTTATATTGATAATACATCGAAAACAAAGCGGCTGAATTAAGTAACATGCATAATTAGGAGGGAATACATACATAATAACTAATATGTTTCAGTGTTTTCTTGCAATATAAACAAACCGTTATTAACTATTGTTTCACTAATAAACTCAAACCCATGTTTGTTTTGTTTCTTTTGCTGATTAAAATATAATGTTATAAACAGCGAAAACGAGTACTGAGGACGAGATCAGCAGCAGCATCCAAACTTCAACGTGCGCTTTCTGGAAAATCAAAAGGAAGTCTAAATGAAATGTAAGTTTTTCTAACTAAAATCATTGTTTTTTTTTAAAGAAAACTTTTACAGCATTATTTACAACTTTATAACCAATTAGAAAACTGACAAAGATAACTTTCAACGCCCCACTACCAGACTTTTATTAAACATTTATCAACAAACCGAAAATAAATTTAAAGTACGTTACTTTCCTGTGGAGGACCTGATTTTTTAAAATCATAATCATTGATAAAGTCTAAGTTTATTATTATTATATCTAAATTGTCGTTTTTCAAGAATCTGATACTGATTTAATCACCATAAGTATAAGTTTTACTTGTTGGTGGCATCACTTTATCATAGAAGAGCCTGTAATAACTAGTGTTCAAATAATAAATTCATCTGACTATATTTTCCTGTTCCCCGGTGGGTGAGCAGTAGGTTTTCAGACTTACAACGCGGTACACATTGCACAGATAGCATATTATGTAGCTTTGCGCTAAAACGAACAAAATTATTTATCTACTCATTTATTTATTATTATTTATATAATCAGTTATTTAGTTTTGATATTTACACATAATAATAATAAATTATTTTTATATCAAGGTCAATAGCCAAATTTGAGTTATATCATTTATAACCATAAAACAGTAAAAACAAACAAAATAGAAAAAAACGACCGAGACAAGTGTAATAATAATATAACCTTTATGACTCCAAAGGTATCTCCAAATGAAATGAAATTCATTTTGTTCGTTATAGAACCTTTAACAAAAATATATTTGAAAACGCTTCTTAAATAGTCAAAATTCGTCTCTTGTATCATACTTTCATAGGTGTCTTGACTTTCGACCCGTATTTCAACCCCTCCTCAACGTGTATTGCTGAGATAAGTCATGAAATACTGTATGAAGATGTTTTTCTGTCACAAGCTCGTTCAGACATTTTTCTTTCAATTGACCTAAATATATATGAAAAAATTTTAATTTTTTCATCTATTTTAATGAACTAATACTTGAATATTAACTTTGATACTGGGTCACTGACCTTACCAGTCCTCATTCCCAACACTTCATCTAATCATCAACGTATGATTCTTCGAGTAAATGTATAGCTAAGAAAACTTTTGACACTAGAGTTGTAAGATTTTTTTTATGTATTGAGTGTGTGAGTTACAAATGAGTGTGTGTGTGTGTGTGTTTTTACCGCATTGAAGTATAATATGTGCAAAAAATGTTTGGGCTTTTCTTTTAACAATCTAACTAGTATACTGTGATACTGATTAACACTATTCGAAATAGACAGCAATTATAAAACATGTTAGTCAATGATTGACTTTGTTAATGTTGTTTGTGGGAAATTCTCCAGGCTGCCATATGATTAATCTTTTTCTTTCGTAACATCAACCTTCCATATTAATCTACGTTTTATTATTGGCCCTTTACGAATGTATACCATAAATAGCGTAAAGGAAAAGAAAACATTTTGAGCAAGTGGGTGGAGATAAAAAACAAAAAAAAAGTTGTTCAGATTCATTTGATATGACATCTTATCGCACGTGATACCGTCGTCTGTAAGCATTCCCAGGTGTGTCTGCTTTCTTTTTGCTAGCTAACCAACCACACGCCTCGTTTAAGGTTGCCATCCACTTTCAGCCTGTCCTACACCTCACCCCCCTCTAGCTGTTATCTTTTTTCTTTCCCTTAGCTGTTGTCAATGTGTGTTTGTGTTTTCTTTCTTTTTTTGGTAATGGATTTCGGTAACACGAGACACAAAGTTTTCAGGTTTTAATATTTTGGCCGCCCTTGACCGTGGCATGTCAAGAGACGTGTAACAAAACACTTAGGTAGATTAGACGATTCCAGGCGTCGATCATGTCTGTTTCTCGATGCACTGACAGAAGTACCTGCTATAAACAACGACTTATCATACACCATAATGCAGAATCTAGTTAATTACACATAACTGTAGTTTATACTATGTGACAAGTAACAAAGAAAGGTGATATAAGCTGAACCTAAAATTATCGTACTTAACAAAATCCTCAAAATAAACTTTATGCGTTCCATCTGCATTTAGTCATTTAACAAGCGTTTAACATGCTATGCCACCCAATGGTTAGAAAGTAAAAATAACTATGTGAATGCTTTGACTACATCTTTGAAATCACTGTCATAGTTTTACTTGCTGTAGCTCCTGGCTGAAAACACAAAACGAGGAAACGGGTATATAGATGGGTAAATATATAAAATATGCATTGAGATTAATCCTTAGGCAAAGGACAGACAGATAATTATGGCTAGGTTAATAAACAGAAAAATAAGTAACTTATACACCTAAATAGCTAGATAGGTACATGGATGGATAAAATGGGTGTCTAGATGTAGATAAGAAAATAATTGGAAAAACAGACAAACATTTAACAAGGTAAACAGTCTAACAAAGTGTGGTGTGTGGTTACAGTGTGGAGTAAAATATCTGAAAAAATGTATTTCAACTAACCTGAAAATAACGGGTTGTTATAAACTTGAACCGTAAATTGCGCTATGTCATTGTGGTCATCGTGTGATCGTTGAGAGGACTTTAGACTGGATGTAATTGTAGTATAAATAATTTTTGCTTGTATGCATATCAAGGTTTGAAGCTTCATTCTAGATTACTGACAATGAATAAGTTTTGTTTTCTGTAGACGAGTCGAAATGTTCGAGATAATTCGTTAAAAATTGTGTCTGAACACAGATATTTGGCCTCCTATGTGATGTGTGAACACAGATATGTGGCCTCCTATGTGTAAATCAACTTAAACCACAGAGTAGTTTGATTTACCACCATACAACTATAGTAACTTGTCTCACGTAATATAAAACGTATTTCTGATACTGTATAGTTTGGATCACCTGACAAAGAACGAGTATATATATGTGGAAAACAAAACCCATACAATTTATCACCCAAAAGTTTAACATCACAATATTCAATCTAGTTGTGTGCATGAAAACTGAAATAGCTTGGAACTGTAGTGACCACAAATATCTGATTTGTTAAAAAAGTATTTGTGAATACAGATCTCTTTCGTATACAATGGTCAAACTAACTGGTATAAAAATCATGTTTGAACACAGATTAATTTTATCCTTTACACTGGTCGAAATACCACAACGTGTTCCTTCAGTACGTGTGAACACGAATAGTTGTTTCCTTTTCCTGTGGCCCGGCATGGCCAGGTGGTCAGGGCGCTCGACTCGCAATCTGCGGGTCGCGGGTTCGGATCCCCGTTCCGCCAAACATGCTCGCCCTTTCAGCCGTGGGGGGCGTTATAATGTGACTGCAAATCCCACTATTCGTTGGTAAAAGAGTAGCCCAAGAGTTGGCGGTGAATGGTGATGACTAGCTGCCTTCCATCTAGTCTTACCCTGCTAAATTAGCAGATAGCCCTCGTGTAGCTTTGCGCGAAATTCATAAGAACCATTTCTTGTAGACTGGCCGGAATACATAATTCTATTTATTGATAAACACACAGAAGAAATACTTGTCTTATCAAATCTACTTGATTAGTACGTAGTGTGTAATTTAGGAGGATTTTTTGTATAGTTATATATGCATACTGTACATATATGTGTATATATATTCAATTTTGTTTGTGTTATTTGGTATTGGTTTTGAACTTATGTGGCTAAGTATAATTTAGTAGAAATAAATGTGCAATAAATTTCTACTTGCATTGACTATGACTAATTAGGACCGGGCGTATCCTTGTGTAGCTTTGCGCGAAAGCCCCAATGAAAGAAACAAACTAGCGTGTAATCTTCAGTTGTAAATTCCTTATTGTTAGAGAAACGACCACCAGGGCAACTTTGTACTATTTAGCAATTGCGTGGAATTGTGAACAATCAATGTGATATCCAAGTGGACAACTTCTTGTTTTTTAGCATTTATAACTTATAACAATACATAGTACTTATCAGTAGGATACGTTTTTTAATAAAGTAAGAATAAGTATAAGGTATATGATATATTATAAAACTGTATATATATGTATATGTGTATATAACATAATATATATATTTATATATTCTTAGAAAACCTAGTCCTAAAAGATCCAATGGAATATTCAGGAATAATACCTGGAATCGAACTTTTATCATGGAAGGACCTGTTCATTTCACCATGGTACGTAAAATTATGTTATTTAATTAAATTTCTATTCATCAATATTTTGTTAGTTGTTTCATTTAATAATAGGTTTGAGTTTAAATAGGACACTTTACATAAACAGTGATGTATCCTCCTCCATCATTTCATCAGTACAAATATTCCGTATCATCACAGTATCAACTTACTTTTTCTTTATATTGTTATTGTTGTATTTCTATACACAACTTAGCTTAGAAGATTAAGACGTGGTAATTTATTTCTGTTTTGTGTGTTATGATATTTTCAGCAATCTTTCATATTGTTTTGATATAATATTGGAGTAGTTGATATTTCCAGAAAACAAAAGTTGTTAATATGACTTTTTAAACATAAGTTGGACCTGCTGAATTCTAAAATGCTTGTTACAAACTAAACTCAATTTTAACTTTATGCACCTCTAACTTGCAAAAAACCAAATGGCCACCAGTTAACAATTGTATGCCATTATTTTTTGTGTAGTTGATTACTATGTCCTGGTAAAGCTCTTATGAGGAGGAAGTGTATCAATAAAATGTTAGTGCTACTGGATACCATAGAATCTGTTCTACAAACCTATACCAAAGTACTGTAATTCACAGATGGAAATATCTTCACACAAACGTATCGTTATCCAAAAACAGCATAAAGCAAACAAACATACCACAACCAACAACAAATGCAATAGTACCGTACAACAATTGACATAAATAAAAGTAAAATATTATATATTAATTCTAAAGGATTATTACAATTTTATACCAGCAACTAATAGTATTATGACATTCTAAATTACCAGGACTACTAGCTACTACTAATTCACTGGATACTTTATACGAAGACCAATATTTTACACATTTATAGCTGGGTCTATTTTCTTTGTATTTGAAATATTTTTGCAGTGGCTGATAAATATGACCCATACCAGAGATAGCAGTATCCATATTTTGTAAAAAAAAATTATATCGTTTTGAACAATTTGGTATTAAAGTGCATTTATGACATGCTCATATTCTGAAAATGTTTTATCACTTTGTATTTAGATTACCCCTAATGACAAATATTAATTGCACACTACCGAACATCTTTAAACACTGATAGCCATTTGTTATGTATATTCTACAAATGTGGTGTTCTATATGTCCTTCTCAATTTTTGGTGATTGATTTATGCTGATTGGATGCTCTTAAAAAAATATATGTATTGATATTTTATGACAATTTCCCCATAAAAAAAAAATTGTCATTATCATTACTTCTGTATATGCTAGATGTGGCATTATTTTTCTAAACCAGCATGTCAGAGTCACAGTTTCTTCTTCTAAGTTACTAGAACATTATTAAAACGATTGCTTATTATGAAAAATCTCAACTCGAGTTACTTTATAGGCACAAACGTTTAACACGGACGTGTTCATCAAGTCTATAAGAGCCAACTTTTAGTAGTTGAATAATATATATGTGCATGTATGTATGTACATTGGGTGTAAACGAAGATTTATCCAAAATATAATGACCGTTTGGTCTTATGATATTATGCCCCTTGTGGGTTTTCAAACTTAGCGTATCAACATTTTTTAACTCATTTAAATGCTTAAATCGAATAAGCCAGAATAAATTAGAAATTAAGTTATATGAAAATATATAACGAATTCCAAAATAATACACTTTAAAAATAGGTATTGTCATTGCTAGAAGAAAAAAAATAACTCTTATTTTTATCAATTATTCTAAATATTATCAGAACTGGAAATAAAATAGTTAAAGAATAAACTTGGTCAAGTTTGGCTACACGATTCACTTATATTTTATTTTCATAATTTGGCTACAGATTCGATTCTTTGGAACATATATTTTTATAGCTCTAAAGTTTGTGGCTGTATTTTCATGTATTGCCGTTGTTGTGTTTTTGAAGTTTATTGACGGACATTCATCATTTCTATGCAGGGGGTCCAACATCAAGAGAGACACCTGTTTCTATTCAATGACATATTGTTGATAGCTAAGTTAAGGTAAATAATTGCTTTACTTCAATTATTGAGATGGATGATAGACATTTAGTTTGCATTTTCCACCTTTTTTAGAGTTACGTTTTTTTTATAAACAGCGAAAAGAATTGGCTGTACTTAAATTAGAAATCTAGCATTGTGAACTCAAAAGTCAAAGTAAACGATCTTGTTTTGTATTTTGTTTATTCCTACATGTAGTCTATTAAAGCGAATCCCCGAAAAGCAGTGAAACATCTCTTCTGAGCAGTGATTAAAAAAAAACTCGTGAAAGTTATTTTTGATATTTTTGGCACCAAGGTTAAGAAGAACATTTCTTTTCAGAGCTGATTTTAAGACTACGCAAATATGTAAAGTAAAACTTGAAGAAAATAATAGCTGAAGCTGCTATTTTATTTTGAATTTCTGAATAGAAGAAGAGAAATGCCACAAGTTTGACAAGATCGCACCAATTATCAAAGAATTATTTACTACGATATGTGATCATAAGTAGTTTTCGGTTGAAAAATCGTCTGGCATAGTTATATATTCATTTTTTTATAAATCATTATATGTTTTAAGTCTTTAGTAGTATCCAAAAATTATACCATCTTCGGTAATAAAATTTGCTTTATGTTTACATCTCTAGAGTTAATTCAAATTCAAGACATGTATTTGAGAGTTTTAAACAGTCCAAGTTGCCAAGAATGATTGGTTGTTATGTACATTAAATGCTACCTACATCTCGAAAACATCGATTTAACAAACGGCTTTTGGTAGCCTTAGAATACGTTGCCCTCTACTTGTTTAACAGAAAATAAGAATTTAATTTTTATAAGTAAAGTAATACTGATTTCGATCAAGTTAAATAAGAAAATTAGGAATTTACTATTTTGACAGGATACAATTCAACTATTCATGTTTTGTTTACCTAGAGCATTTCAAAATTATATTGGTATGTAGACAACTTTTTTAACCATAATAGAAAATTGCTACAGAAGCCCGTCAACTTCAGATAATCTTTGAATTTTAAAATTCAATAACATTTGATCACCAAAAACAAAGATCTAACATTTAAAAATTTTTGTTGTTTTTTTTTTCTCCCCAAAGGTCTTCTAATTCATACAAACTGAAAGAAAAAATACTTGTGTGCGAGCTGTGGCTGTCAACTTGTTTAGCCGAGGTTTGTGAATCGTCGCGATCTTCAGAAACATCATTCGTGTTGGGTTGGCCAACTACCAACGTCGTAGCAACGTTCAGGTATATAAGCAGTCATATATGTGGCGAAATCATTATTTTATCTAGTCAATACGACCGGTTTGAAACTACATTTTACCAGCCAGAAACCGGAAATTTTAATGCTAGCTCAAATGAAAGCAGTGAGTCACTAGTTTGTGAAACCAGTTCGTAAGAGTTAGGTTAGGTATCGACTGTTTTTGTGATCAAGATCACTTAGCTAGTTTTACACACTTAAATCTGATTAATGTACCGACAGTAGAAATACACAGCTATCAGCTAACGTTAGTTGCCGAACTGATTTACTAACACAAAGTTAACATTTCTGTAGGGAAAAGACAGAACTAAGTATGATATTAATTAGATATATTACGACCAACTGTACACTTAAGAGGTTTCTTTACCCGCTACTTTTCAGTCACAGAGCTAACGTCTCAATTTTCAAACTGCTGAACATATTTTGATACGATTAGCCCTTAAGGTTAGTTATCTCAGTATTTTACATTTAAAATGCATTTTGCTTTAAATATTAATTTTAAAGTGATATTTCTTGATACTTTCCCGTATCAACGTGAGTTGTTTTTAGTACGGTGTATTATCTCCTATAAATACGTGCAGACTAAATAAACCTAGTTTACAACAACCAATAACTAGTCTTAACTCGTCTGGAAACAACTTTTATTTGATTTTCTTGTTAGAAAATTGACAGATGAGCCAGAATACGTGATATGCACCTGAATCCATTTAATGAATTTCGGTGTATAAATTTGAAATGTTAATTTGTATTTCACTTTTTTTAAAGTTCAAATGTTTTTTTTTAGTTCTTCTCAAACGAAAGAAGTATGGCATACCAAGTTGGCACAGTAAGTAGTTACTTTATTTGTCATTATAAAATTACGTACGAAAAAGTAATAAGTTAGTTATCACATATATGTATCCATGGCATTGGAAGAGTTAAGACATCTGGCGATAGAGAAAAATTATAATGGAAAACACGTACAGATTGAAAAATAAAAATCCAAAAATATCACTATAATCAGTACAACTGAAAATATTTTAAGCATTCCTAACAATTTTGTCTTCAATAATACTTTGTTTATGAAGCGAAATATAATAAAATAACAAGTGATTCAGACAACTCAAAACCTTGACAATTATGGCTTAAAATTTGAGGAATTAATTGTTTAAAACCACTTTGCAAGGTCAGTGAGCTTAATAAAATGTACAAGAAAGCATAGATGCGTTAAAAAGAAGAATATATGTAATGGTTACTTTTTTTTTTGTTATTTCCTTCAACTGATAGGGGAATTAATTACACGTACTTACAATATTTCGATGAGTTCTCTTCTAATTCACTATAGATAGATCGTGATAATTAAATGATAAGCTTGATTTATCAACTACGAATATAGTTCGACTAGCCTAACAGGTTTTATTTCACCAGACTTGTAAACGAGGCGAAAGAAAAAGAAGAAAAGACAGTCACCACACTCCAAGTATCTTACTGGGATCAAGAAGCAAACGAAGAATTTGTAAGTACACGGAAAAGGAAGGTTATGTTTTAAATCATATTTAATATATAGCTTAGTAACCCACGTACGACATCTTATAGGAAAAAAATACCGCTAAATAAAACAGCTATGTAGAACTGGCAACTGAACTTGAAAAAAGGAACCAAACAAAACAGAGATGTAAGTGGACATGTCGGCTAATGATCACATACCAGATTAAGTCGTCTCGACTTTACATGGAGTATAAGATTCCGACATTACTGGCTTTGTCCATCGAACCTTGATGTTTGAATAGAATCTCAGCTTTCATTATTATACCTTTCCTCTAGTTAACTTTAGAATGCTAGTTCTATGACTATTTTACAATATTGTAACATTTTACGATTGGAAATTCTGATTCTATTTGTTTTTCCATTGAGGAAGCCAGTAATATAGAGATTTATTTTCCATGTAAAGTCGAGACGAGAAAGATGATGATGAACAAAAATAAGAAATCTCGGTTTTGGCTATTTGCTTGTTTTCGATTTTGGAACGTTCTGGATAACTGAAAAACGGCATATACACCAAAGATAGAGCGACTATGCAAGGCAGCTTTTCACATCAAGATTCTGAGGACCTGTAGATTGGAAAATCCTCATGACTTTTGTATTGCTTTAATACGAGCGTCCGATATAAAGAGAGCTGGCGCACTCTCCGATATTTACTGTAAAATGTACTATCACAACTAGTATGTAGCGCCATCTATTAGCAGTTAGAAATAAATTGTGAACGATGACCCATATTTTCATTAGTGTAGCTTAAATAACAGACAGCAAATGTCAAGCTCACTGCTATCTATAAGTTAAATATATAAATTTTTTCGTATCTGCTGATTTTAATATGCGTTGTACAAAAAATAACTAGTTCTATTCAAACTGCATCTTATGACGTAATTTTGTCTGGTTTTTAATATAGAGAAAATGGTTCTTGATAACACAGGTCTGCGATGGTTGTATTGCCTTGAAATTTTTGCATGTTCTACAGTAATTCCTGTACGCTGAATCCGAAAAGGATAACCATTTTTCTCCATCACATACAGAAAGTAATAACGCAATACATAAAAGAAAGACCACAACACAAAAGACGTAGATTTCACAAAAGAATCAGGATGAATGAGG